TTTTACTTGCTCTGAATAATTTTCAATATATGTTAATTGCTCCTGAAAAACAATAAATATGAAAAGTAACTTTTTCTAATTAAAAAGACATATTGGATTCTCTTAAACTTGACATTTCACAATTATTAAAATAGCTATTTAATAAAAAATTAAGAAATGTCTTTCTAAAAATATTAAACAAAAACACTTTGAAACAGTTAAAAAGATAATTGAATTGAAAATAATTGACAGTCATAAAAAAGGTATTTTTTTCAGTATGCTTTCCCCAGAACCCAAAAGTCGACGATATATTCTGATAAAAAAAAAAAAAAGACAATGAAACAGTTCTTGGAAATTCGAACTGAGTAGATTGTTCAGCCAAGCCTTTTCCGCATGTCTTAGTTATCTCCCATTTCTTTCATTCTACAAGTAATCAGGTATTGAACTCAAGACTCTTTGGGTCAAGTCACAGGATCCAACCAACGCAGTTGTTACGTTATGATAACAGTAAAGATGAATACTTTTTCGCCTTTATAATTATTACTACAGCCGCATGGTATGACGTACACACAGTTCTTAGTCGTGTTCATCGCTATGGTGGGGTCTTATACAGAATAAGCGTCTGTGAAGTGTTGAAATACTTTTGAAGGTCGTGCTGATGTTATATGGACCACAGATCTGTTGTGTTTTTTCCCAATAATCCCTTCACATAGGGTAGGCAGACCGAAGCTGTTTCCACAGTATTGTTATCCTCTTTTTTTTTTTAGCATTACGCCCCGGGCAAGGATGCAGGGGGTTGCAGAAGATTTGGAGCGAGAGCAGATAGGAGTGATAGAAGAAAGAATGGGGAGAGGGATAGTGGATAGATCAAGGTAACTGGAGATGTCGATTGACATTACATTTGAATAGTTGGAGAAACAGGGAAACAGTAATATGGAAGGGTGTTCCACAGGCGAGAGGTGCGAGGTATGAAGCTATTGAAGTAGAAGTGCGGCTACATTTAAAAGTTTCTACAGTGAATGGGTGAGAGCGGGGTGCCAGCCTCGTAGGACGCTTGAATTCATGAAGTCTGGGAACCAGTGAAAGCAGCTCATCGGAGTAATTACCATGAAAGTATTTGTAAAACAGACAGAGAGAGGTTGTACTCTTCTATTCACAACGGAGAGAGAAAGCGACAAAAAGAAAAAAAAAGAAAAAAAAAAAGAAAAAAACTCGCATTCGTGGATGTACTAATACCTCAAACAGAGCATGGGTTCAACAAATCCCGCAAGCCAACATTCACAATACTTCAACTCTCACCACTCATACAGTTTAAAGAAACGGATCGTCTTACAACATCGAGCAAAAGTTATAAGTCATGACTCAGAGACATACAAGAAATGCTAAGTATAAGCAGTACCTTACAACGTAATAACTACCCTGGGTATATGGCAGCAGCTCCAACAAACTGGGACAGAAGGATACAAGAGGATGACAATATAAAGAATAACTCGAAGGGAGAAAAAGGCCGCCCTCTTAAGATTTCGACTGGAAGAACATCGTAAAGCCGTAATATGAGGGGAAATAGAAAAAATATTCATTCTAACAATTGACACAATCACTCCAAGAGATTATCCTCCTCCACTCAATTGGAACATTTACCAAAATACCGCTTTTCACACCCAGTTTACAATATAAGTAAACTGAAACTTTACTGTCCACGTTTTTATACAAGTAGCGTTTTTTCTTGTTTGTCCATAACGTTCAGTTTTAAAAGAACTGAAGCTCTCTCTGCATTCACTAGTTTTTTCTTGGGTGTTATCTTTTTCACTATTAGTCGACTTATATCGTCCAACGTCATTTCCTTCAACTGTCTTAGTTGTGCAATTACTGATAATTTTATAATGACCTCACTGCCAGTAGTTGACAAGAAGAGATCAGTTATTTGATTTTCTCCTCCAACAGATTTGAAATCCTCTAACGAACAGAAAAGCTAAAAGATTTAAAATCTTTTTGAGCTGTTAGTATCGCAAGCCACGTTTGTGCGTACGTGATAATTGTTCGTTCGGTTTGTTAGATATCTTGTAGTGTAGTGTAGTGTTACAGACTCACGGGAAGTATTATACACTCAACTGCCTCATGGGTAATAGCTGTAGCTATTTATAGTCTTTGTGAGTTCATATGTAAAGGAGTCACCTCAATAGGCATATTGCATATGGAACACAATTTTTAGAGCCACTTCAGTACCGGCATTTTAAAATATAATTTTTTTCAAAGAAACATTTACGAACGAAACTTCAAAAGGAAGAAAAATTATATAAAAATCCACTTACTTCAGTTTAACGAATTTTAACCGTATAATGATTTTAAAGTTGTCGAAGAAAGCAACAGAAAACGAAAAAAAAAACGTTAGTCAACATAATAAAGAAAAAATCAATTGAACATTTTCTTTCATGTGAAAAATAAAATCAACAGAGAAATAAATTGAAAACATTTACCTTCGATTTGTAGCGTCTTCGTTGAGTAAGAAAAGAAAGGCCAGTTGAAAGACTCTTCGGTGTAAACAGTGTATGTTCTTTAAGAAAACATGGCCTGGAGAGGAACCAGATAAAACCAATTGTTTGATGCCAAAGAAGCGAGAATAAAATTCAAATTTAAAATGATTGATTTTTAAAAGGGAATTTCAGTCTTTGATACGAGCGTATGTGAATTACATATGAAGGTATTACATATGAAGGTATTAATGTGTACTGTCTTAGATAATCGTTTCTTTTTTTGTTTAACTTCCATCCAAGTAAAACATAAAATAGTTTGGTATTGGATAGCAGGTATATTTTGCTTGATTGTGTGTGTGATAATTTATTTTGGTTTTCCATTTATTTTAAGCCTATTATTCGTAAACAATTTTAATAAATCGAGTGATGACGACGGGTGACGATATTATGAGGGCATCTCAGCTGCTGGGTCAATTCCCTACTGGATTGGGTCGGGTCATCGTGCATTGTCTTTCCTTCAATTGGTCCTTATTCAACTGAACTGGTCGGCCGGATCGCGTGAATTGTGAAAACCCTTTTTAGTTCAGTTTTTTTCCGTAATATTACTTTATCCGTTTACAGCACAAATGTCTCGAGCAGCCTTGGTTGAAAGCAAAGAGATGCAGGTGTCGGAAAAATGCTCCTTTTTGTCGACTTGCCACTCATTTGTCTTAAGAGAAGTAAAATTCAATAAAATTTCGAAAACGATAAACAAAAGTTATAGAAAAAGATTAAATTTACAAATAAACGATAAGAGGCTACGGTAAAAAAAATATTTGCGTGTTAATTCAAATAACATTGGAACAAAGAGAAACGAATTCATCAAACAATCCAATACTTGGCTGCTCTGTGTTGTTCAGCTTTTAAAACTTCTTCGGATCGAGCAGTTTCTAGTAAAAAACAATTCTCAATTTTCAACAATAACAACAAGCATTCTTTTTATGCTTTTTGTACCTTCAGGGCGTGTTGTAACATGTCTCTCCACAACTTCCTGTCTTTTGTAACTCTTACTAAGGTTTGTCCCATTACTATTCCGATTAGTCCATGTTTTGCCAGTCATGCACACAAGATCTTTAAGCAGAGTAATCGATGTTTTTATCCACCCCTCATGCTTTCTATATGTTCTGTTAGTGTCAAATTGTTTAATCCATTTTTCCTCATTATATTACTCAGAATAAGTTGCCTTGCTGTTCTAATTTCTATTTTGCTGCTACTATAATCCCGCAGTGAAATTCTCAGGATCCTCCTGTAGAACAACATCTGTAGAACAAAATCTTTGTTGCTTAAATTTATCTCTTCAGCAGTGAGGAACTTGTCTACAATTCACTGCCATATAGAAGGATTGATATTACATAGCAATTCAGCACACATTTTGTTTATAAAGATATTTTCCAGAAATTTTTCCGATGCCTTGTTTAAATTTTAGAAGGCATTTTTCGCTATTCCGCAGCATCTTTAGATGCCAGTGTTAGACTTCCCGTCATTTGTTAAAACACTTAACAGATAATTACGTAGTTGCTTCATTTTGACGCCCCCAATATGTAATTCGTAACATGAGCTATCCCTTTTGTTAACGTCCATAAATTCTGTATTCTTACAACTGATGGTCAATCATTTTATTTCATTAACGTTTTTTTACTAGTTGTCTATAATTTTTTGGTCTATAAGTTCTTTTGTCTGTTAAAGTTTGAATAATTCCTCCTTGTCTTACGTGCCTTTCTGTTTTATCGTATTTACTGAATTCATTATCTATCCGTATGCAGGTGGTTTCTTGTAAATGGTCTAGAGTGTTCCAATATCTTTCCCAAAATAATCAAATCATGCCTAAACAAAAACGGTAGCGGCATGAAGGGGATCGAGTCTTGTAAGAAGAGACAAATGCAACCGGTGTCACCTAGCCGACATTCAACGACTGTTCGCAGAACAGCATATACTACCTTTTTTAAAATATAACTCTAGTTCTAAATATCGAAGGAAAAAATTAAATAATGAAGGCGCTTCATGAGGTACGTAGTGTGATGGTAGTTTTCTAAGCGTAATTTAGATGTGGCCCAACGTATGGGACACCAATTAAGGATCGAACTTTATTTCACTTATAAGTTGACTTTACGAGCCACCTTTTACAAGTCAGCCGACGGCCAGCACCTCCTACTCCGGGGAAGCCAGTTTTTTTCTCCACCAGGGCAAGCACTGACAACCAGAAGGAGCACTGGATTTACTGTAGCGACTCTTTTTTTCTGATCTTGCGCTAAGGTTTATTTCGGAAAGTAACTTATAGCCCCCATGTTTGTTTCGGAAAAGCACAAATTATGTCACCATGTTTGTTTCGGAAAGGCAAACCTTATGCTTACATCTTTATTTCGGAAAGTCACACTTACCCCAATGTTTGTTTTAGAAAGTTACACCTTAAGCCACCATGTTTGTTTTAGAAGGCACACCTTATGCCAGCATATCTATTTCAGAAAGTTACACCTTAAGCCACCATGTCTGTTTTAGAAGGCACACCTTATGCCAGCATATCTATTTCAGAAAGGTACACCTTATACCATTATGTTTGTTTCGGAAAGACAATCTTCATGTTACCATGTTGGTTTTGAAATGGCACAGCTTATGACACCATGTTTATTTCGGAAATGAAGACTTTGTTTATTTCAGAAAGGCACACCTTCTACAATCATGTTTGTTTCAGGAAGTCTCAATTTATGACCCCATGTTTGTTTTGGAAAGACACACCTCGTGCCTTCATCTTTTCTGATCGGCAGCCTCTTTTGTCTAATGAAGACTCTTGATTAAATCGAAGTGTTTTAATGAGTCAAATTTCAATTATGTAGCGAATTCCCACTTTGCTTTCCCGTGACCAGATTCTAAAGACAACAGGCATGAGATAAGCCTTAAAAAGAATTATTCAAAAGATAATTTTTTTTGTGTCTGTAATCAATGGACATTTTTCTATACAGTGAATTTATTTCTGATTATAATTTATTATATGTTGTATTCATCTTTGTACTAACGATTCGTCAGATTTCGTGGAAGTAATTAAAGTGGGAACGTATCAAGTTTCATTCAACATTTTTTAAGGCGAAACGCTAATATGCAAGCTTTCTTTTTTTCTTTAATCGCAGATAACTCGATTTCCTTGATAAAAGTGTAGCAATGCCCGGCCTTACCAATGTAGATACAACTGGATTTCACTGATTTTATAAGTATACAATGTAAATAACATAAACATAAATATCGTCAAAAGAACCAATTCTCCCATTAAAGTACATAAAAATAAGATTTGGTCACCTCTCATTGAGGAAGTGTTAATTTGTGTGATAAGCGTTTAAGGCATGAAACTAACAATAACCCTGCAGGCTTGATATTTATGATTACACAGTGTATATGCACAAATGCTCTATCGTGGGTTTACGACCACATCACGTTGAAACAGCGGTTCTCAGATGATTAAGCAACGTTGAGACTGGTCATTACCTAAATGGGTGACGGCTTGAGAATGCTAGGAACTGTAAACTTTGATGTACGGGTGATGTAATGGATTATGACTCGGAATTGTTAATTTGAGATCCTAGTTTCAATTCCCGCAGGGTTCGTAATATTCGCTTAGGCGCAAATACCCTTGGGAAATGTATGAATTCACTTCTCCTCTCAGCTATGGGTTAATTTGTAACACTTGTATTACTAAAACGATTATTATCTAAAACTGATTCTTACAATCTAAAATATTTCCTGGTTTTAAATAACCTGCAAATAGTTGACAAGCCGTAGAATTCATATAAACCCATCTCAAATTATATAAATTTTCTTTTTAAACATCCTATATATATATATATATATATATATATATATATATATAATGGACTCTCCCGTCGGTTTCGACGTATGAGGATCTGACAGCTAAATTAATTTAGTTATAAAATTTTGTGCGATAATCTTAAGTGGCAGTTAAGACCCGCTAGTGATTTACAAAGGAGGCGACATATGGAGCAAAAGTGAGGATTGTGAGATGAGATCACTTTTAGATTGTCTGACCTTTTAGATCTTGCTCTCGTTTCTTGAAGATAATTCAGACAAGCAGAGTGAAAACTGCTGAGTCCACTAAAACACGTTGATCTCCATTCTACTCGCTCCAAGGCTAAGTGCTCAAGGGGGTTATGCGGTATATTGACAGTTCACAAAATGCTTTTCAGCTTGTCTTTGTATCTTAGCCATGGGTGTCCTGCATTCCTGTAGCCCTGATCTAACTGGCTCTACATTAGGATCTTGGATATCCTGTCATCAGACATTCTCAAGACATGATCAGTCTACCATAACTGAGACTGTATGAGAAAAGTCTCGATTCTTCCAATATTACACCTGTTAAACAGGTCTACGTTATATGTCCTATCTTGAAGGTTAACTCCACAGATTGCACGTAGACAGCTTTTATGGAAAACATCCAGATGGCGTACATGGTACTTGTATGGAGTCCACGACTCTGAGCCATACAAAAGGATGGCAAGTACAACAGCTCTGTAAACCCGAATTTTCGTATCCAGTCGAATACCCAACTCATTCCACAATATTTGTTTCGGAAAGGCTCAATTTATCTCACCATGAGTGTTTCGGAATGTCACGCCTTATGCCATCATGTTTGTCTCAGAAAGGAGCACATTATGGCACCATGCTTGTTTCAGTTAGGCATACCTTATGCCCACATGTTTATTTCGGAAAATCACACCATATGTCCCCATGTTTGTTTCAGAAATAAGTTGTATTCATAAAAATAACGTATAAACAGAACATATATTAAAATATTTATCGAATTTAATCCATTTTATCTAATATCTTGAAAATTCCACATTGGACGAAACGCGCTGGCTAATAATACAGTTTCCCTATTGTCTTTTACCTTTATATATATATATATATATATATATATATATATATATCCGATAACGTAACGGCCATCGATGCACAAATTGGCGAATGTATTTCAAGAAATGGCCTAATCTGTTGCATACACCTCGACTAATGCACTGAAGAAAGACATGGATCTATCTCTTCTCCAATAGCTATGGGTTAAACAGTGAAATAGAAATGTATCTCTAATTTTGTATGGTAGCCAGTCCAAGAGAAGGAAAACATTGAATTCAAAGTACACAGATAAGGTCTGTACTGCTCACTTTCGCTCTGATGGTCTTGGGAAAGGCATGAATCCCTCCCTAAAGCTATGTGTTAAATAGCAGGATAGATTGGACAGCAATTCCAGGAGAAAGGTTATTCTGAATTCAAATTCTGGAAAATTCATGGGAAACCTATTCCATTATCTTTCTGAAGACGTCGTGGTTATTATTAATTAACAGTTAAATAAAAGTTAATGAAGAAAATGTGGAAAGTTATGATTGCTTATATCCTGAAATCACGTAGCATTACAAAACAATAAGAATATGTGGAGACTGATGATCGCCTACACCCTGACGTTATATGGAATTAAAAAAAATAATACGAAGGTATGTATTGTCTACGTCCTGAAATCACATGACATTTACCTTGGGTGGAAGCGACTTTTTTAGAGGACATGGACAGGGATTTAATCTACTGTTATTCCCAAGGAAACATAGAATTTCATAAATAATAAAGAAAAATGAAACTGTGGAGGGCCATGATCACCTACATCCTGAAGAGACATGGCATAAAAAAGAATACATTCTGTAAACCCGATGACTCGTTCTTGCCTTCATCTGGTCGAGTCAAGTAAAGGAATCATTTTTTTCTTTTGATAATAAATAAAGAAGCAAATAAAATTACGTTAATAAATGTTTAAATAAACGTAAAAAAAAAAATGGATGTTCTGCATTGTTTAGAGTTATTTGTGTTGGAGAGATGAACAGTGTTTGCTGCAGCTTTCGTTCGTTGGAATGTTTAACGGATTAGTTTTCGTCTTGAAAATAACGAATGCACTTGTTCAATTCGTGTTCTGTTTTCTGCTCTTTTTAAAATGTCTTTCAGTTTTCGGCCTTACCTCAAAACCATTTTTCTGCCAATAAAAAGGCAGCCATACTCGGCTTTTTTTTTTCTCCTCGTGACTTTGCCTTCAGACTTTTTCCTTTCGTTCGTCTTTGATTCGTTTACACAAAAATTTATTTCTGTTTCCAAACGTTTCTCTTCGTTCGTTTATTTTTTTAAATTTTTTCTTTCTATCTTCATTTTTGATTCTTTGTTTTTTTCCCTGTTGTTAATTCTTTTCCTTTTGCTGCATTGTTATCTTTTCAGTATTTTTTCTTTGTATTTCTTTGCGGACCCCTCTTTTTTGCCTACTATTTCTTTAATATTCTACTATTTTTCATGTCTTACTAATTTTCTTTTATTTTGAGTTTTTTTTCTCCAATTCCTTTTTCTTTCAATTTTCCTTCTTTCTTTTCACATTTAGTTCATCTTTTATTTTTTTATTTTTCATATTTACATATTTTTTTTAGATTTTCAATATTTTCTTTTATCATTTTAATTAATTTCCTCTAGTCTTTCTTCTTCTTCTTCTTCATCTTCTTCTTCTTTTCTTCTTCTTCTCCTCCTTTTTCTTGTTCTTGTTCGTCTTTTTCTTCTTCTTCTTCATCGGAAATATGTTTTTCTTCTTCCTTATATTTATTTATTTCTTCGTCTTCTTCATATTTCTTTCTTATTACTTCTTCTTTAGATATATTTCTTCTTCCTCTTCAGATTTATTTATTTAGTTTACTTCAAATTTTTTTACATTTTCTTATTCTCCAGATGTATTTATTTCTTCTTCTTCTTCTTCTTCTTTTGATTTCTTTCTTTCTTTCTTCGGGTTTGTTTATTTCTTCATTTTCCGCTTCAAATTTATTTCCTTTTTCTTCTTCTTCAGATTTATTTATTTCTTCTTTTTATTTATTTCTTCTCCATTTATTTCATTCAATCTTTGTTCTTCTTCCTACATAATACTAATGAACATTGCATCTTCTGGCATCTGGCTGCTTCATTGTCGGTAACAGCAGATGCGTTATTCGAAGAGGCAAAAAAAAAACACAAAGTAAAAAAGCCAGGAAAAACTGAGGGAAAGAAAAATAAAAAAAAGAAGCAAATCACACACACACATACACGCATGCGATCAGACACACACAGCATCACCATCACCACCACAGCCTGAACCATCACACCAATAACAACAACAACAACAACAACAACAACAAAAACACCCACCACCACCGCCGCCTAAATTATCACAGCTAATAACTATAAAAACAGTTAAAATGAATAGGTGGGAACAAACTGATTAGCTATCTACAAATCTCTTTACAAATGCGAAGAGCGTGAAAAATATCTATCTATCTTTCTATCTATCTATCTATCTATCTATCTATCTATCTATCCGCCGTAGGTTTCTTAATCTATTGATATCTATCTTGTGTAGAGATAATGTATTTAGTGAATACCAACTGCTGATCAACTATGTCAACACGAAGTCTTCTACAATATAGATTCTTAAAAAATCCATTTTTTCTTAAAAAATCCATTTTCTAAAAGCACTTTTTAGAGATAAATTAATATAATATTTATTTTTATACGTGAGTTCATATGGGAAAAATATCCTATTAAGAAATAAGCATGAGAGAAATACTTGAGTATAATGAAAGTAAAATAGATTCGGAGCTAATCAAAGTACGAGTAGGTTTGATCCTCACTGGGTGACCTCTGCCAAACACAGTTATGTCATAGATACATATAAATTTTTCGGCGCCTCTTGCAGTCAAATTTCTGATCTTATGATTGGAGTGTGTTCAATTCCTGCTTGGATTCTTAGGCTCGTTGCTATGTGTTGTATTTAAGCGTAGTAAATGATTTCGGCACCTGTCCCCTTGTTATGGTTAATGAGCAAGTGTTGTAAACAATTATTGCGGTAGGAAATTCCATTTTCAATGAATGGCAAGCAATTACAACATTGTTATTAAATAAGCTAAACATTTTTGCAGTCTAACGTACAGCGATGCACAGGCTATTCCTCATCAGAGCTCGTTCGATATTCTGCAAATCCCTGTGACCTCTCTTCAGCATGGCTGCTCGTTATTTTAGTTTTTAGCATGCCCAAACCCATTTGTATTTCTGAAACACTCACAGAGCCAGCCTGTGATTATATTGCAACGGACATTAGTCATATTTCAAGTATGTGCCCGCCAGGGTCATATGCGTTTTGTATTGTGAGTTGTCCTTCTAGTATACTTGTTTCCAATCACGGCTAGGGAGTTTCTTCTATTGTACTATTTAATTCGTAGGAAGGCGGAGAAAATAGATTTGTACTTTTCCGAAGGGTTTTTATCTGAAAGGGAATGTAACAGTTTCGACTAGAATTCGAACTCGACTCTCTAACCACTACACCAACTGCACGTCCTACAGCCCATTACAACTATATTTATCTTAATCGTTATTGATAATTACAGAATTGAACTGAAAAAAGAAATATGAAAGCGCCTATTGCAAAGCAATGTTTATTAAGCTAGTTACAGTGGGCGCTGCTAGTGGTAATTGTGAACTAAGCTAAAATTTGCTATATAAGAATACTACTTCTAGATGTCTCGTCCCTTCAGAACATTGTCGATCATGGCTCTCCACAACTTTCTATTTTGTGTGGCTCTTAGAAATTTTTCTACCTTCTCTAATGCCTCACTCACTATTCCGTCCTCCATTCACACAATCCCGTCAGGTAAGTGACTCGCTGTTTTCTCCTATCCCTCTTGCCATCAATATGAACCATGAGGATTAGGTTTTCCATGCCAACTACTTTATCCTGTGTCAAAAGAAATTCCAGCTGTCTTTTCCTGAATCTGAGTGTTCTTTCTATTTCCATTTTATTCAAGACTTCCTCGTTGCCTACTTGCTCCATCTATGGAATTTTCGGTTTCCTTCTGGAGAAGCACATTACTGATGCCTTCAGTTTTTTCCTCATCCGTGGGGAGATCGTTCAACATTCACTGCCATATAAGAGGACGGATATCACATCGCAATCCAGCACACTTTTTGTTATTTCAAACGAAATTTTTCAGTTTCTCAGCATCTTGCATAGCTTTTCGAATTCCACCCTCTTTCCGATCTCAGTGTCGCATTTTCCATCCTATGTTAAAACGCTTCCAAGCTATTTCAACTTCTGTTTGATGTGTATATTTACAATTCGTAACTCTCATATAAGACTATTTAGGGTTCATTTTGCTAAATAAAATTATATATATTGACATTGTCACCACGACCTTGGATATTTGAACACTTACATAAAGCTATCGATGTCAAACAGAAGTTCAGATGGAAAATGGCTAAAGCTTTATTTTAGTAAATAAAATTGCATTTCTGAACATATTGTTGGTCACCATGGGTTTTTTTTTTTTTGAATGAGTTATTATTTAGAATTGCTATATAAAATTATTTATGCGTTATTTTAAGAAAAAGAATTAAATTTACTAGCAAATTTACTGCTACCTTGGATATTTGACCTTTCTATCAAAATGGCCGGAAAGAGCAATAACCGGACTAAACTTGAGAAACCTATTTTCATGAAAAATTGTTTTAATAGAAAGACGCTGTAAATTTCAACCGAAAATAACACTGGCAGTTCGATCATTGCTAAACGAATATATACTTCTATATAAGGTAACAACTAATATTGCTATTAATATTAACTATGGGAAGAACGGATACTACACTTTGTATTTATTCGTCTTTTCAGAGTGAGGGGCGCCAGAGCGTGCCTATGGGATAAGGCCAAAAATTGCCAACTATTATTGTCTAGCTGGTGTCGATATTCCTTCGATCTTTTGGTGCAATGGGGGCGGTGTTGTCCCACGGTTGCTATGCCCGGGACTAGGCATCCCACATTTATTTGTTGTGCTCTATCCGAAGACAAAAACACAATTGAGAGATAAAATATAGTTCGTCTACTCAAATGCAGATGGTATTTACTTACTGTACCACGTTGGTATGATACAAAACAAGGCACACTTTAATGCGGGGGAGGCCGGTCGGGTGCAACCGGACCAAGTCCAAAAGCAGACCACTTCGGTCGCGCTGTCATCGGTATCAATACCACTCTCCGCTCTTTAGTGCAATGAAGGTCGTACTACCGCGGGCAGCTGTCCCCCGAGGCCGTTCACCTCTCAACAGTATTTTCAGTTGCACGCATAACTCAGGTATCACTGGCTGTTCTCTCAATGAATGCCGAATGTTTCCTTATAAGGAAACGGCTAATATTACCATTACCGTTAGAAATGAGGAGAACAAATAATATACTTTGATCCCATTCCGATAGTCTGAGAGTAAAAAAATCAAAACTCGAGTAGAACAGGCTGTTCAGGCAACGAATGCCGAATGTTTCCTTATAAGGAAACAGCTAATATTACCATTATTAATACCGCTACCATTGACAGTTTCTTTAATTTATAACATCAATTTATATATAAGACGACTAATGTCTCATTTTGATAAATAAATTTAAGTTTATTGACATAATTACTGCTACACTGGATTTTCACATGCCATCAATGTTTTTGTTAAAGTTGAAACAAAAAATAATATATAAAACATTTCATAACTTACATAACAAATTACATTAATTAATGCACTTGCTACCTTGAATTTTTGAAGTCTTCCATAATGGCATCTATGTTTTTGTTAGAGTTGTCATTAGAGATTGCTAAACAAGACTATCTTTGTTTTGAGAAATAAAATTAACTATACCACAGATTTATTGCTACCTTCGATATTGGACTCCCTTATATCATGCAAGCAATGTTTTTCTTTAATTATCATTAGAAGATACTTCGTTGGATATTTGAACCTTTACATAATACCATCTGTGTTTTTGTTATTGCTATCATTAGGAATTTCGAGATATGACTTCTGCTTTTATTTAGTGCATAAATTACATTTACTTACCTATAAAAAATAAGTTAACCTTGTTCTTGGCAATGACTTTTTATGTTCTTCAGGTTTCCATGTGACTCATTTGTGAAAAATACTTGCTAAAAATCAAAGTAAAAGTAAAACTGACATAAAATATCGAGAATAGGCACGTTTTAGTAGTTACTTTTTGACGTCACTGAAATCACGATGTAACTATACATGCGCCAGCGACCACATAAAACGTGCCACAATATGCGCAGATTTGTCGTGTGGCATTAATACTGTTAATAGGCTATGCTTGTTTTCAACTTGAGGCTGCTGTATGTTGTCTACCTGATGGCAATGAGTAAATAAAAGTAGGTAACATTTTCAAGAAGTAAACTGGTGCAGAATCGGCTGTATAATAATAAACACTGGGTAAAATACGGTATATATATATATATATATATATGTATATATATATAGTGGGTCATCCTACCAGTTCGGCTCGAGTCGACCAAACAGATTTTTAAAATTATAAAAAGGTTAGGTGACCAATTGTTGGATGATCCGAAAATAAACTTATATATTATTAGCCGAAATATAATACCTAAGAATATAATTAATACTATTGCTGTAAGTTATGTGAAGGCTGAAAGAGTTTTTTGTGATGAACATAATTTATTCTGCTAAAAGAAATCATCTTGAAGTGTGGCAAATCTTCTAATCTTCTAATTTTCTAGACATAAATTTGATTATTCTTCTATTGGATCTTTGGGACTGCAGCCATTCCCTTGAATGTGGTCAAGAAGCCATAACAGCTGATGACGCTAGAGTTAAAAAGCATCATACTTCTGAACAGAAATATGATGAGAACTGAATTTCAATCTGCAAATATTTTAATAAATAAATGTTTTCTATTAAATTATCAAAATGTTTGAATTCTTTTTTATTTGTGATTTGTTTCCATTCTCGGATTGAAAAGAAAGTAATCAGAATAAGTTCTTAAAGATTACCTCGCTTTATATATCAGCTGCTGGGAATTGGGGATACCATTATATATATATATATATATATATATATATATATATATATATATATATATATATATATATATATAAGATATATATGTATATGGTTTCTTTCAAAATGGAAAATAGAACGCTGCTTTCTGCAGCATTCTTTGCGCCCGACTGGTAAGGCACGCCGGATCAAACGACGGTTTCCCCTACAAAGGAGGATGCACTTTCGATACTTGCCAGAAAACGCATTTTATTTTCTTACTCGAATGCGAAGATCGATAATCGTCATACATACTGTGTAATAAGTAAAAATGAGGCGTCTATTTCAAGTACGATATCTACTATAACAACGTTTGAATATATATATATATAATTAGAATATATATATAATTAGTATATTATGTATTAACTAATGTTCATCGTTTATGATTTGATGTTTATATCATACATATATATATTAGAATATATTAGAATTTGAATGTAAATATAAATA